TTTTTTTTACTTTTTTTGTCGGGGCCAGGGGTGCCGACCCCCGGCCCCCGGGACCCCCGCCGGGGCCCTGGGGCCGGGGCTCGACAACCCTGACCCGTACGTTCATCATCAATCCCGAGCCTTCGCCACGTTCCGTTCAACGTGCAGGAAGTGCGCGGACCCGGCAGTGCACACTCGAAGCCGGTGTGTCCGTTAATGCCGGTGTTCGACCTTCACCTTCTAAGCAGCAGCATGGTAAGAGTGTGTGGCCCTACCAACGGAGTAGAGACAGCCCCCCTGCCGGATTGGCAGCGGGCCACATGCGCATCGGCGGTGGTCATTTGGATATGCCGAACCGGAGCAGAACTACGCAGGCGGACTTGAGAGACGACGTCGCTTGCAGACCACCGGCGTGCCCACGACCTACCGTGGACAACATCATTCGAGGAGTGTCCAACATGGGGGCAAACAGCAATGGCGGCGTTCAAGATGCGGCATTCCGTGATGATGCTGACGATGGAGACACTGAGGACATGGAGGCAGTGGACGACGACGATACCGTTAAAAATCGGCCGTTGGGAAAGACGACAGGGAGGGGGAAAGGATACGGTAGAGGCGGTGGTCGTGGTCAATCTGGTGGGCGGGGCGGCAGAGGAGGCGCATCCGACGATGGTGGGAAGTCGGCGACATATTGGTCGACGGACGACCAATTGCGGCTTGTGAGATGTAAGCGGGAGCAAGACATGCACCTGGCAGGGCAAGGTCACAATTACGGCCGGATGCGAACGAAGGAGTGGAAGTGGGACGACATTGCGAAACGGATGGCCAACATGGGGATGCCGAAAGAAGCCGATGAGTGTTCCAAGAAGTAGGACAATCTGTTTCAGAACTACAAGAAGATACAGAGATTTCAGGGGAAGAGCGGTGAGGTGGATTTCTTTAGGTTGTTGAATGAAGAGCGGAAGGAGCACAATTTCAAGTTCAGGATGGAGAGGGTGCTGTACAACGAGATCCATGCGAGCATGCTCGGCAACCACACCATTTAAATTCCCTCCCAACATCGCCGACACTGTTAGTCTGGAAGGGGTGCAGTTGCCGAGGCGAGGAGCGGGAGGTGGGGAGTCTGTGGGAAGTGAAGTCGCGGTGATGGCGGCTCGGACGACCGTTCTTCGGCCAGGGACTTTGATCAAAACGCACTGGCTGGTAGCGGTGCCAGAGGCGGAAAACGGAAAAATGCACATCAACGGACTTTCGAGGCAATCACTGATGTGATGGACCGGCATGGGCAACTCATGGTGTCGACGATCGATTCGTCGAGCAAGCGGCAGTGCAGTATCCTGACCAGGCAATGCGACATACTGGAGCAGGAGGTAGCGGTTCATAGAGCGCATTATGCGACGTCCGACGAAACGGAGAAGATGATGTGCCACACTCTCATGGAGATCGCTGCCGCCAGTCGTGGTCGTTCGACGATGTAGACCCTTCCTTCGTGTGTTGTCTGTCAATCAGCTCTTGCGCTTGTCAGGGTCTTCCCTCGCTCACAGACACGAAATTAATATTTTCTATTTGTGTTCATATATATATATATATATATATATATATACATATATATATATATATATATATATATATATATATTTTCGGTCTTGTGCGTAGTCGGCCGTGTGCCTGTTGGGTTGATCGTTGTGCTGATCTTTCCGCTGATCATTCCCTGCGAGTCTTTGTCGCTCTCCGACCGCTGAAAGGACAAGACCGCCAACAATATAAATCACGGTCCACAGCGGGGCGAACCACTCCGCGCCAACAGAACCTTCACCATCGTCGTCGATCCTGCAATACCTCCACTCCCTCACCGCGACATTGCATGCTTGCTGTCTTCCACGATCCGCAGTCATCCGCTCGCAGCGCGCCATCAGCGTCCATCGTCAGCCACGTACGCGAGCAGCCACCTTGTAGATCAGACGAAGCGGGACATTCTTCGGGAAGGCGGTACTCACGCGCCTTGCTTGTCTGGAGCGTCGTTGGCTCACCTTCAGGACGGACGTCTACAGCAGTGAAGTGTTGCGGGACGTAGGAGCGCGGCGTCAAGCAAGGCCATGTCTCCAAGGGGCGGAGGCGGTTCACGTGCACGCGGCAAGAAGCGTGATGCACCTCATGACGACGCTGGGGGAGCGGACAGAGGAGGGCGGCAAGTGACGAAGGCGAAAAAGGATCGTCGAGATGGCGCGCCATTCAGCGGCGCCCGAACGGACGGGGATGGGTGGGGAAGACCTAGCGGGACCGATGATAACGACGTCTTCTCGACAGGCGCTCCTGACGTTCAGCCGTCTCCACTGCCATCAAACGTTCGCGCAAACGTTGGGGGGTCATCTGCGCAGGTGACGACTCGCAACGAGCGCATCATCAACGTCAAAGTGAATGAAGACGTGCGGGTGGACAAAGGCCAAGGCCGTGCAGTGCCCAAACGTAGCGCAATGCAGCCGGTTACAATGCCGACGACGCCACGTCAGCAGCGCACAGTTGTGGCCACAGGGGGAGCGACGCCCACACAGGCAGTCCCATTGCTAGCAACGCCACGTCAGCATCACGTAGGCGACAATGTCAGATCTGGTGTTGCGGTCGCCGCTGTGACGACGGTGGAACCGCCACAACCTCGCCACGCAGGTGGGACGTGGGAGTTGTGGCAGGAGCACCGCGGGGGGCGACGGGGGAAGGCCGCAGGGGGGAGGACGTGGCGAGCGCAACGCAGGTTGCGCGTGTGGAGAAGAAGAGGGCAGCGAGGATGACGAACCTCTCATCAACAGGGTGCGCAAAGGCAGACTAGCGAAAGATCTGGCGAAGCGGGCGAGACTGTGGGTGGACGACAAATCATTTTGGATGTCAGGGGAGGGGCGCAGACTCTACAATATCATCAACGAGACACGTGAGCACCTCGTCGCCGTCGCAAGCGGGCTTCCACTGCCGAACGTCCCGAGAAGCGTCGCCATGCCCAGATCCAACATCGCGAAGATCAGGATCACGGATGCAGGGCTGTTGCACAGAGCATTGAGTCGCGCATCGAAAGTCCAGAGTGTGGCCTTGCGGGTTTTGCATGGCTGCGTCTTCAGATCAGGCTCCAGAGAACGAGGATACAATGTTGCCTTCCAGTACGTACTGGAATCTGTGGCGACCGACATCGCGCGTGCGGTGTGGCATGGTGAGGAGTGGAGTAATGTCGTCAGCCCCGCTGTTTGCGTGCACATGCTAGACATGGGGATGGACCTCTCGTTGTGGTTTGCTGGGGTGCATATCGAAGACAGGCTGGCAAACGACGAGATGGCGGCGTACCAGGAGGCAACTATGACGCGACTGATCTCGACATTCAGCACGGCGGTCGAAACGGCCCAAAACGTCGATGGGGGACGCGTCGCACATGAACGTCTGTCTCGTCTGGCTGAAAGCTTCAAGGAGTTGTTGGCGGCATGCATGTGGATCATGTGAATGGCGGGAGATGATCTGCGCTCACACTTCGAAGCCTTTTACTTCGCCAACATGCTCGCCAAGCCCTTGCTCGTCGCGTCCATGCACCATCTGGTCGATCGTCGGCGGCACATCATGTCCCCAGCCAACTCCGCGACCGAACGGCTAGGGAAGGCGCAAGTGACGTTGGGGCAATCCCCGAACTTCCTGCCGGACTGGGCGCCTTGTGGCGTTAAGTTCTAACATGACGCCAGCTTGTCAGGGCCCAACGAGGCGAGAGTGGTTCAGTGGTTGGGTACAGGGCCAACTGCCGACGACGACGACGAAGATGACGAGGAGGAGGAGGAGTGAAAGTGGAGAGGGGGGTGTGCGGCAAAGACGAACATGACGATGTCGCGATGATGAAAATGCCGCGATGATGATGATGACGATTATGATGATGATGGCGATGATGATGCTGATGATGATGCTGCTGATGATGATGAACATGATGATGATGATGATGATGATGATGATGATGATGATGATGATGATGATGATGATGATGATGATGACGATGATGATGATGACGATGACGATGATGACGATGACGATGATGATGATGATTATGGGCATGACAGTCAACTTCATCATTACGACGATGATGATGATGATGATGATGATGATGACGATAATGATGATAATGATGATGATGACGACCACAGTGACGACGATGATGATAACGACCGTCATGACGAGTTGGTGATGTGGGAGAAGCTGCGAAAGGCCTTGCATGGTGCCCATCATTGGTTGTAGGCGGCGCTATATTTTCCGTAATTTTGGTTTGGCAGGCATTGCAGTCGACGGTCAGTTTTTGCGTACGGTCATTGCGGCGGTCAAGTGCTTGTTTTTTTTTTTTTTTTTTTTTTTTTTGGTACGAAAGGCTCGGTTCGTGCGCCTATTTATCTCTTCCCTAGACGTTGATGATGACGACGTGCATTAGTGTGGCAGCCGGGGGGACTTTTTATTTTGGAGGACAATCACCCATTCGAAGTTCGCGTCGAGACGAACGGGAGGTGTGTGTGAACGATATTAATTGCTGCAGTTTAACGACTTTTTTTGGTGTTTCATTTTCAGAAGACCTTGCTAGGCTTGTCGTCGCGTTCATACATGTTTGAATGTTGTCATCTCTGCATTCCATAAACATTGCATTGCATTGAAATGAATTTCTTTTCTCTAATACTAAAGCGAAACGCGGGTCTCGCGTGACGGTCCCGCGAGACCCGGTTCTCTGGTGTGGCACCTCGGGGGGGGCACAATCGGATTGTGCGCCTATCGTCGGTCCAGGCACTGAGACGCGGTTTCGAGGCGGGGGG